TAGAAATTGCATATTAGCTAAAATGAGGAGGTTATTTAATATACTTAATGCCAGTAATGTCGATCTATGATAAAATGGTAAAATATGTTTTTTAACAAACCCATATTGCTTTCAATAGTGTTAAACTATGCAAAAGTTGAAACTTTGACACCCTGTAACTTTGAAACTGAGAATTTCCGAAACGAAAGGCTTGACAAATGGTCATATCTGACCCATTAGAATATTTTAAGCCCAAAAAAAGTTCAAAATCTTCGTATCACCTACCATGCATCCTTAGATGAGGATCTCAATGTTCATCTAATGAATTAATTATTTATAAATTATACCAAAGACATAAAATTTTTATCTTAAAATGAATGAAAACAATAATAATAATTCTGATAAAAGTAAGTTTCGTTTGTTTTTCAATTCAGTGATAAAAGAGTTGAATGAAAAACAGAGGAAGCTTTAACAAGAATTAAATTAAATCTGAATATTGAGTACCTTACTCGCCTAGAAGCCCTTAAACGTTTCGAATCTTATGGACCATATGATAATCCGATTCCTGGTTTTTATTTGCGTTACCGAGGTTAATGAAGATATACCTGGTAAAACTTAGAAAGCAAAAACTGTATGTGCAACAATTTAATGGTTGATTAGTTTATCGATTGACTAAAACCTACTTTCTTTTGTTGATATCTATCAAAATAACTATTGTGCCACATTACTAATATATTGAAGGAAAAAAAGCAGAAATTAAATTATCGTCTTCCTGATAATCAAGGTGATCAAAAAGAGAATCAACTGCATTTCAACAATTTTCATGATCATGATAGTAGTTAAAAAATACGATGTTCCCACCGTTTTTACAGGGGACTTTCAGCCAAACAATCTTATCTATTCAGATCAAAATTTTTGAATGTAAACAAACATTAAAGGCAATTAATTCGATCTGATAAGGTAGTAAAGCTAAACCAAGTGAACAAACATTCAATAACGATATAAACATTCAATGTTAGGTAATTAAAACCAATGTTTACAAACAATGGTAATTAGCCTACCAACTCAAATTTGGCGATTAAGAATAAAGATAAGATGGAGAATAAATAAGATCGCGTAAAAGATAAGTGTTTTTATAATTGAATGTAGTTTAAGTTTGCCTTCTTTCTTCTCTTTCCTTTTTTCTTTCTTTTTTCTTTCTTTTTTCTTTCTTTTTTCTTTCTTTTTCTACCCAATCAAGGTGAATCAAAACAGAATCAATACCCAATCAAGCTTACCTTTCTCTCTCTCCTTCGTCTCTCCTTCTTTTCTTTCCGAATAAAAAGGTAAACTAAAGCAAGGTGCAGTTTATTCTTGTATTTTATTCTTTGTTAATAAGTTGAATTCTTAGTGAATAAGGGAAAGTGATACAAAGTTATAAAGTTGAATGAATGTAAGTAAAACATAAGTTTTTTAATAATCGTCTTCCCCATCAGATCTATCATTTCTTCTAGCCTCTCTTAATGAATTTCTCCAAAGCAGATTAAGTTGGACAATTAAGTTATTAATGGCCATGGATTGAGTGCGAATTTGATTGATGATGGAACGATTCGCATCACCCAAGCTATCAAAACGATCCAGTATGTGTCCAAAGACTTGGCCAATGTCATGATAGAGCTGGTCATCAATGTCATTGTGTGTATCAATTGACACGACCAGTCGCTCCATTAAAGTGAACAATCTATTCAGATCATTGCCTGACGAAGTTGGTGATGGAGATGGAGGTGGAGGTGGAGGTGGAGGAGGAGAAGAACCCAAAACCGAATGACAATTTAAACTTACTTCATTATCAGTGGAAGGTAGAGCAATGTCACTTCCTGATTCTGAGGCCGTAATTGATGAGCAAGATGAAGAGTAATCCATGGAGGATGAGGATGAGGATGATGACGAGTCATCTATATCAATATTGATTTCCTCCAAATCCTGGACAACATTTAAAACCCTTGTAAAAAACAATTCACATTGACGAAGGTCACTTTCACTCGTCACATTTCGAAGGATGATGTCCACAACTTCCCATAGCTGGTTAATAATAGTTGGGTTAATGTCAGACATTATTGAAAAAAAGAATGTAAACTAATTTTATGCAAATAAAAAAGACCAATACAAATGACTATGATTGATTGAATGACTAACATTACATAGCTAAGTTTTCTTCGTGACCTTATCGCGTTTTTCGATCTAAACCTCATGAGGGTGAACATGAGAATCTTGGGAACAGAAGAACAAACGCCTGGACCTTATCTGATGAGAAAGTTTGGAGCTTCTTGAAGCAATTTGTAAGCTGATTCCAGTGTTTTTGCATTGCAAAGCAAAATAGAGCGGAATAGTGACCTAAGGGAAATTTCTATGTTCAGGTCAGAATCAAAATTGA